ATTTTCAGACCGTGTCTTTTATATAGTCCTTTTAGTGACTTTGTGCCCATGATTTTGGGGTTTTTTTGTGAGCTGAGTAAGCTTACTCACTCCCATTTTATAGGAAAGTTATGGAGTGATTGCCAGAGCTCAGAGAAAAGCCCTTGTCTCTGTGATTCCCATTTGGTTTTGGTTTCTTTTGCTTTTTAACAGGCCATTTTGAACACAGATCCATTTTTGGAAGTGCTGGGCAAAATGATTGACTGGCCCAGCAGGGAGCTGTAGTGTTTTGTTCCATGAACTGCATGGGTAGTGTGGTTTGGTTTGGGGTTTTGTTGGTTTTCTTTTTTCTTTCCTAAAGTAGGTGTTGGAATGCTAAAAGTATGGTGGGTTTTGCATATCAGCTACATTCCCATTTTCAGAAATCCAAGTACACTGTAATGCTTTTTTTATGTTGTACTAGTAGCTGTAAGCATAATCTCTTCTCTCTTCACTCCCATGGTGTTAATAGTTTGGGTCTTACTAATGAAAAAGAAAAAGAAAACCACAAATTCATGTGCAAAGGAACACGGTACTTGAGTGCATGCTAGAACACCCCCTTCCCCCCCACCACTTTTATTAAATACATAAATTAGATGTTCATGCTTTGAATTAGAAATAGATTCGTGTAACGAAGTAATGACTTCAACTGAATTGATTGCAATACAGTTTTAAATGCAAGATGCGTTGTCAGATTGCGGTCAGTATTCTTGCGTCTGCGTCTGGAAAAGTTAGCTTCGTACTGCTGATAGGTAAACTTGAAGGACAGACTATCAGGAGTTAGATAAATTTCTAATAGGGTACTTGATTTTTCCAATACAAAGCTACTTGATTTTTCCAATACATATTCCAAAAGAAAGCCAGTAGTTTACTCTGAAAAAGTGTATGGATTCCTTTTTCCCCCCCTTGCAAATACTGTAATTAAAAAGAATTTTCTTGTAATTACTTTATTTTTTCATTTATGCACCACCTTATTTGGATTGTTTATCATTACTAAGTCATAGTTGCTTAGAATCATTCTAACATGGTTGATTATTTTTTATGTTCTTCTTAAAGTTCTGAATTGTCTCAATTTGCATAGCTGCAACTTCTATTTTGATAGAAACTTTGGGAGCAAACAATTTCAGGCAGGATTTGAAATGGACTGGAAAAGACTGTTGAATGAATGCAATACTGTTTAATATATGGAAATCACTTTAAAACAGCTGACTTATTTGGTTGTTTAGGTGGAAGTAAATGGTTACCATGCTCTTAGAACTGTTTGGAATTCTAAATACTTAATCATGTTATGACTCTTATTAAACAGCTGAATTGTTCCTTTATTTTTTAGCTGTCAAATTCAGTAGATTTTTAAAGCATGTACTGTCTTTGAAGGAGTTATGAGTAAGCCAAATTTTTTTTACTGTCTTCCATCATCTTGATTTTCAGGTTGAGATCAGTCAGCTGTTTAGTAAATAACAAAATTCTGCATGTAAATCTAGGTGAGCAAAATGTTGGAGTTTTGAGGTTGATGAGAATACTCAGAATGAGGATTTTCCATTTCTAGAAGAATGGGGGTGCAACGTATTAGATTGTTACAGCCTTGAACTTACACAGTTTAGACACTTTCTCACCCCTTTTCTACAACAGAAAAGCGGATAGAATTATTTTCAGTCCTCCCTCCCCCCTTTCCTGCCTTTCCTGTTTTTTCTGCTGATACAGTCTCCTGCTGTAAAATATCTTCAAATAAACCACAGCAGCTAAGATAATGATTTGATAGACCGTTTTCCACTTCAGAAATGTATATAATTTTCTGTGTCTTTCAAACACGAATGTGAGAAAATTTTGGCAATTACTAAAGTTTTAGCTGACTCTTCAATGAATAGTAATTTGATCTGTTTTGTTTTGGAGAAAAAAAGTTGGGCAAATAATGTTTTAGACTTGTGTCAGAAGGCTCAGGGCCTTTCATTTTCCTTTGCTCTGTGGTGGGTGTTTTTTGTTTGTTTGAGGGTTGTTGTTGTTTTGGTTTGATTTGGTTTTTTTAGGTCAAGCTACTAGTGATAGATTTCATCATGGTTGGATTTACAGGGTTTTTTTTCTTTTATTTTAGACAAATTTCGTCAGTTAAATGCTTCAATGTTTAAATTGCCTGGATTGGGGAAATAATTTTGTGTGACTTTTTTTCTCTACTTATTTTGAGAGAACTGAACCAATATTTTAAAATGTTGTCTTTGATTAGTACCTATTGAACCCATACAGTTAATAGTAGCTATTTTGAACACAGCTGGTCTTACTACTTTCGGCTGCAACATCTGCTCTTTAAGGTCACTTCTCGTGGGGGAGTAGGAAGTAGGAAGTCGTCCGCATGTTGGAGGAAGAAAACTGGCTCTGAGAATAATAGAATAGCTTTTAGGCATGTCCACCGACAGGGGCGAAATGTGGAAAAGGCAGGCAGACATTTTAGCTTTTTTCTGTAGTGGCAGTCATCAGAGAATTATTATTAAGTACATTATGGTTTGTTGTCTCAGAGTCTCCTCTTAAAAACAAACTAGAAAACAAATCATGCTCCCCCCCCACCAGAAAGGGGGGGGGGGGGGAATTCCCAAGATGGAAAGGAAAAAAAATCCCGCCCAAATCCAGTATTTTGGAGGTTGCTGAAGGGTCCCTGTGCTTTATTTGGGGTCGGTTGCCAGCCCTATGCGCGGCAGACAGAGGCTGCTGCTGGTCAGGGGCTCAGCCCTACCCAAAGCAGCCCCTCTGCCCCGTGTTACCGAGTTGGTGCGTTTTTAACTCCCGAATCTATGACTCCTCCTCTCTGTGAAAACGTTTGGCGTTTGAAACTGAGCTTTGTCATAGCCAGTGGTGTGAGAGGGAGGAAAGTACATCCAGGGGGTGCGGGTGACTCTGCCCCGAACGTTCTGGAAGCGGGGTGGTGCTTCCCGCAGACTGCAGTGGCAGCGCTCGTCCGCGGGGGCTGCCGGCAAGTTCAGGCATGGACTTACCATAGCGGACTGGAGCCTGAAACAGAAAATGCTCCAAGGCTCTTATTTTTGCATTATGTGTTTTAATGTGTTAAGAACCATACTATTATTCAGGAATTCGTGCATAACACAATCGAGCTGGGGGGAGGGTAGGAACATGATTATATTTGGGAAATCTCAGGGGTTTAATTTTTTTTTTTTTTAAAGCAGCACTGATGCCCTTTCTTTTTAAGCTCAGAAGGTGTTAATCCAATAATTCATTCTGCAAATGACAACAGAATCACTGAAAGATGTATTATATATACACTAACACACATAAATAAGTCTTATAGTACGGCAAATCAAAATATATACGTAACATAAAAGGGATGTTACTGATTGTCACTTTAACGTGACAGGCATTCTGGAATAATAATTAGCTTTCCGTTACAAATCACTGGGTTTTGGATGGAAAAGGTGAGGATAAATTATAACAACAAGTTTAGGAGTACTTTGCATTGCTATATATTTTCAGGTACAACAATAGTATCTTTTTGACATTACAGATGAGCATATTGTGTTATGCTCAAATAACCTAGAACCAGCCATAATGAACAAATTATGCTTGCAGCAGAAAATGGGACATACAATTTGACTGTATACAGCCTTGATACTGTTGGCATTCTTAAGAGGAACAATGCAGGGAACTAGAGGAGGCCAGGGGTGTAAAGCGGGCTCTTTTAATCCTGAGATGTTCTACCATGTTCAGATTAATAAGCATCCCTGTCTCCATTGCTTTGCTTTTTCACTAAATAGTGCCAGGCTGCAACTACAGCTGCCCATTGCTAAATAGGTAGCTAGCCAAACTTGATTTTATTTAAGGTTTCACAAATTTGTGTTTATAGCTAGTATAACAAATAGTACCTATTTGCATTGTTTCTTTTGTGCCCTGAGTTCTTGCAAGGCAGCAGGTGAAGGGGCAAGAGGTATGAGCGAATGAATCATCCTTTACACACACACACACACTCTTAAAGCTTGGCTTTTTTTCTTTCCCCCAGAAAAATACAGCGACTTTTAGAATAAACATTTGTCAAATATAACTTATTAATTTATTTGATTGGACTTTGACTGGAAGGAAGAAGGTAAGAATTTTTAAAATTAGGTACCAAAAGTCAGAGTGAGGCTGAAACCTAAGATTCTGCCGCTCCCTGTCACTGTACCTTAGAGATACTTGAAAAGATAATTCTGGTTGCGAGATTTTTTTTTTTTTCAATTCCTACAATTCACTAATTAAGAAAAGTTAAATGTGAAATTAAGGCAACAAATTAAATGGCCAGATGTGTTACTTGTCAGTATTAGGTTAAAAATGAATTTGTTTACTTGGAACTAACATTTATTTCTTATTGAAAATGTGCAAAATACAGGAAATACTAGATCAAGAATACCTGATTGCTGAGCATAGTGTAATTTTTCTGGTGTTATTTCTATTACTAGACCATAACTGTGAACAGTGTGTGTAGCATCCTACCTGAAACAGGCTGCAAGGTGAAATTTATTTTGCAGACACTACTGTCAATTTTCATTTATATGAACAATGAGAGCAGCGCTTCTGACACGGATCTGGATTATTAGTAAGCAAATACCTAGAAAGGTATATTCTAGAACTCATTGGGAGGGGCAAGGCTTTGCTCAGCAATATCCTGCTGCAATTTAGTCTTGAAATCAGGCCCCTTTATGTAAAATTTTACTGGCGCCAGCTAGCTGTAATTGCAGTCTGGCTTTGTGTGGCAGCAGCTAACATGTGTCATGGACTTCTCCTTCACACGGACTGCAGGAGCTTTCTGGTTTCCAGACAGAAAAAAGCAGCACTGATGAATGTGAAAATACATACAAAGGAATCTAGGTGTAATCATATTGCTAGTAAGTGAAAATACTGAGGAAATTTCAGTTTTGTTGGTTTTTTTTTCATTGTGCTGTGCTGTAATAAAATCTTTGCTTCTTGGTACTACTGTGTGGTATGTGGGAGGTACTTCACTGCACATAGTTGCTGCAGCACTAATAGTTGGCAGCACGGAAGGCAGTACAAAGAGTACAACTGGAGGCACTTGCAGTTGCAACAACAGCTTCCTTAGAGGCTGTGGCATGCTCAGTGAGCTACAGGGGCACTCTGACACGTCCAGCTACTATGTCGAGAAGTAGGAATTCCAGCAGGCTTTAAGGTACAGATACAGGCTACTAGCTGAAAGGTGTAACAGCATAGCTCAGGCTGGCTGAAGACCAGTACTCATGCTGCTGTGTAAACAAAACAAGATCTTAGTATCAAGATGGCCGACCTGGAAGTCTACTTGTAGCTTATAATACTTATGCAAATGAGCTGCATGTCAGTGGCTTACTCAGAGGAGGAAGCTCATTTTGCACGTGCCATCTTCTCACCAGGTAAGAGAATCAACTAATTTTCTGCATTCATGTTTTAGAGGACTTTGAAGTTAATTTTTCATTTAGGTCCCACTCCCCCACTTTGGCACAATGCCAGGAATTAAATTTGAATGTAAGTGGCATTTTCTGTGAAACCCAAAAGTAATTTGTTCTGGCTATAATTATATTGGGGTTGCTGTTTTTTAGGGGGAATGTTACCTAGAGATTATTGGAGACTATTTACTTTAGTAAAACTAAGTAGTTTAAAAATATTCAAAATTTGAGTATGTAATTTTCTTTGGTAGTGTTACTGCTTTTGTTTGATTCAAACCTTTGCTGTTTTGTTAGTGGGTTATTTTTGTCTATATTGACACTGGTTGATGCACATGGAGGCTTAGCAATAGTGGGAGCTTACCCTGGAGAGGGTGCAGAGTTGACAAAGTTGAATTCACCAATTGTGTTTCGGTTTCATGGTGTTATGAAGGATCTTTGTTATACTGGTTGTAGTTTGAATTTTCTTTTTGTTGAGATTACAAAGCTGTTAAAGCAATTAGATACTGCACTGTTGTCCATGTATCTTTTAGTATATATATTTTCTTAAATGCCTCTGTGTAGAATTAGATCAGAATATGGTGTTTTTATGATCTCCGCCTCTGAGAAGACAATAACCTTGCCTTACAGCAGGAAATTTTAACAGAATTGAAGTATTGCTAATTACATAATATGCTCTATTGTGGTTATGAATGTAGCGCATGAAATGGCCGCTTGGGGAAGATTTGTGCTAGTTCGGCACAAATACATTTGTGTTGTTTCTATTTTACAAGTTGAAGTAATGGCACCATGGATGACTGGAAGGGAGAGCTGGAGAAAATTATTTGAAAGTATGGTCACTGACCTAGAGAAGAGGGATAATGTGAGATGCATGAACAAGCCAAAAACATGGCCACTTAAAGACAGACATCAGCTCAAGACAGGGATGTGGAACTGGAAGTAGACAGGCCTGTTTTCGTTGAAGGAAAAATAAGATTAATTGAAGAGAATTAAACTAAAGATGTAGAAGGACAAAGTAGATAAATTAATTATTACAGCTTAAAATGGAAGTGATAGATATTGAAAGTATTGGAGGCATTCTGAAATGGCCTGGGAATTAAGGCCTATAGAGTAAATATGCTCAGGAGAACCATAACTGGTTGATATTGAAGAAAGGATAATTTAACGGTAATAGAGAAAAGTAAACTCCTGCAGTCAAACGGCAGAGAAAAATGCTGCATGCCTACAATATGGGCCAAATGAGTTTCAGTTTGTAGTTAGCTCATACTCTTTGAAACCTTCTAACTTTTTAGTACTAACTTAAGATTTGATATGGACAGAATTTTGCTTGTCATTTGGAAGTCTGTTTATATGCATGTCCAGACTAAAAAAAGTGCAAAAATGGGCATGTGTGTGAGAGGGTACAAATGCAGATGTATGGTAAATTTCCCCATATAAATTACACTAGAAGCCTTTAATGCCTGTAAGGTTTTCCGTAAATGTCAAATTCCATTAGAACCAGTCTTGCTTTCATTGATACATGAAGGAAGCAGTTTGGGGCCCCTCCCTCCTGTCGGTGAAGTGTGAGTGTTAGGATGGCAGAGGAAAAATGGCATTCAGTGGGGCATGAAAAATTTAGAAAATTGATTTAAATAAAATGCTCCTGAGAGGAAAACTTTGACCGGTAAAGTGAACAATAACAAAAGTGATATATTTGTTAAGAACTGAGAATTCTAACAGTAATGTAGGTGATAATAATAACAGAATCATAGTGAAAGAAAAAAGGGTATATCACAGTAAATATTTTGGCGTTATTTTAGATTATATTATAAGGTCATGTAGATAACTTAAGTTTTTTAGGCCTTGAAGTTACAAGGAAGATACTAAACATTCCATGGTAGATATTTCTTAGCAAAGGTTATAAGGACGTCTTTGTAATCTGCATCCAGGAGTTTTAAAAGAATTGGTTGAGAATGCTGAGATCTCCCTCCCAGTAAATCAGTATGAAGTTGGAAGTGCAGAAGACCCTGAAGAGTTTTTAAAAAGGTCTGGAGAAAAATAATGGAGGATTAATAGTGTGTCAATAAATGTGAAAGAATATTGTTTCAATTAATGCAGAGGTGATTTAATTGCTGGAACACTATTATAAAATGGATATCCTAATTAATTTGTTTTAGAATGAAATTCCTTGGTGTAAATACCTAGTGTCTGTAATGCGTTTACTCCTTGATACTCCTTAAATAACAACTTCCCCTCCCCAAATCCTCTTATCAATAAAATATTAATTTGATTTTTAAAGCGTTTGAAGGGGAGAGGGTAGTAATCATGTTCCAAGTAAAGTTTATTATTGGTATTCTAAAGTAGTTACTTTTTGTTAACTTACAGAGGATGGAACTTACAGAGTCATCAGGATCATTTGCTTAGTGAGACCCAAACACCATTTATTAGATTTATTAAAATAAATGTGTAACCTTTGCACACCAGAATCTGATTTATACATCTATAGGCTATCCAGCATAAAACTCTGTCCTAGAAGTAAGTGGAGATCACACAGACAAAATAGATAGCTAAAGCCCAAAACAGACAGGTAATACAGAGGGACTGAAATTCTGTAGCATACAGAGAAAGAGTAAGGAATCTGTACTCTTTATAAAAAAGTTATGTTCCTGGATGATACTAAATGCTGATGATGTAACTTATGCCTCAATACAGGTTGCAGTCCTGTTGCTTGTATTGATTATTTACAATGAAAAATTAGGAAGGATCCTGGCAAAAAGCACAAGAATGATTATGACCTGGTCATATTCCCCTCAGGGCTATATAAATAAAATAGTTTTATAGTTGCAAATGCAAGCCTGGGAGAGGTGGTCATGCATACAAGTTCATCAGGAGAGTCTGTAGGTAGTCTGAAAAATTATCAGGGAAAAGTTCAGCTATGTTATGTACCAGCACATGAAGAAAGGATTTATAATGATTCCTCACTCATTCAAAGAGAAATCTAGCCTTTGATTTTTTGGATGAGGTGAAACTGCAGCCTACCCTTTCCAGGAAGCAGGCAAGCATGTTGTCTTGCTGGCTCTCCAGGCAAGAGACAGACTGTGCACAAGTGTTACTTTTGATGTCAAAGGTTTCTGGGCAGAACCTTTCTGGAGGATGACTTACAGAAATTTAAAAAAAAAATTAATTTGTCAAAATTAAAGATGCTATCCTTTGTGTCTTCTATACATTTTATCAATGGAAGCATTTTTAAGTATAATTCTTACTGTCTACTTCTGGCATCTAACTCTGGGTTGTGTTCGGGAAACTTCTAGGCAAGAAAAATGAAGTTTCTTGTAAATGGTTACCCTGAGTGACTGTGCAGATGCATTTTTCTCCCTATGATTGTTTATGAAATTTGGGAAGGCAAGCAGTCTAAAATAGCTGTACAAATTCTTCATGTAATTCTGTGTTTCTGAAATGGTATTACTGGATTGTTGCTTCATCAGCTGCTTTTCCCCCTCACAAAACAGTAAAATAAAGGATGTTTTTTTGTAGAACTAAATGCTTTGAGGTCTTCACTGAAGAAGTCTTTTGCAGACCAAGTACTACCACCTCATGAATGCATTGGACAGTATTACTACAGCCTGGCCACTGTTTTTTTGGGACCAGACTCAAAAACTTTTTACGCACTGTTCTGGCAAAATAATTCCCTAATAATGTAGCAGTAGAGGTAAACTTGCAGCTTTTTTTGTTTGTTTGTTTGTTTTGGTATTCTATTATACTGTGAATCCTAGTTTAATATTCTGTGCAGACTATCAATGCTTCATGAATTTGTAATTTTTTTTTTTTTTTTTTTTTTGAAAATTTGCATTAGCAAGCAAAACTATGACCTCATTACTGGAAGAAGTGTGTTCTGCTTTTGATCGCTTCCATCCTTTTCACTTAGGAATGAAACACTTGGAGGTGTTACACTTGGCGTTGGAGGTGGCTCTAGATCTGTTTTTTCTGGTGTTCTAAACAGATCATATATCTAGGTGCATTTCATTAGTTCCTTAAGTTAGTGTGTATGATGTCACTAGTCAACATGAACAAAATGTTGCTGGCTGACTTCAGTCCACACATTTGCTGCCAGCAACCATGCAGAGGTGTTGAGTAACTGCAAACTGGGGCGTATGATAGCTTTGAAAAGAATTCATCAGGGAAAAAAATTAAAGCCTGTCATCCTAGATGTGAAGTTTAAACCCAGGAAAGCCTTCCAGAATTACTTGTCCGTCCTGCATAATGGCAAGCCTCATTGTGGTCATTAATAAGCAGACATAAGAAATACTTTGGGAAGTGTAAGCTGATCTCATTTGAGGCCTGTAGCTTAATTTAAAAGACAAAGGTCTTTATTGGATGGAACATCTCTTCAATCCTCCTCTTTATTTTGATTTTGTATCCTCTTAGAAACCTAGCATGAGAATTTGCTGACTGCTGTGGTCAAAGAACACTTTGCATATCTTTTTTCTGCTTTCTTCTTCAAGGATCTTAGACTAAGAAACCAAAGAAACACAAAGATTAATTCTTCCATCGTTATGGAAAAGGAATGTCTTCAGACTACAGATAATTTCAGTTTCTTATGTTTAGAAATCCATATTCCTTTGTGATATTAACAACAAGCTGTAATTCACAGAAAATACTTCACATTCCTTCTAGTGGGATTTTGATGGCTGTTGATATTTGGTCATCCCACAGCACAAAAAATAAACAGTACTTAGCAGCCAAAGTGATAAAGCACTTGCTAATTAACTCCCTTTTATTAAGACTCATACTGCAAGATGAGAAAGTCCAATAGCTGGGTTGCTTTTAGATAATTGGTTTTTTACTTTACATCTTTGGGACTTCTGTATAACATTAGGTTTGTCATGTCCTATTTCAAATGGGTAATTAAGCACTTACTTTTTTCCCCTGATCATTTTAAGGTAATGATTTGAAGAACTGTTGCCTGAAGTGCATGTGTGAATCCACTTATT